TTTTTTTTTTTTTTTCAGATACAAGAGTAAAGGGATGGTTTCTTCTGGACAATTATTTGCCTACCTTTATCTGCTCTATCATATACTTATTAATAGTATGGCTGGGACCGAAATACATGAGGAATAGACAGCCGTTCTCTTGCCGGGGAATTTTAGTGGTTTATAACCTTGGACTCACGTTGCTGTCCCTCTATATGTTCTATGAGGTAGGACAAACATTAACATGAGCTTCCTCTCCCTTAAATGTGCGCTTATCTCTGCCCTGAATTGTGTTCTTAAAATGAAGAAAGGCAGCTGCTTGGGATGGGGAGAGAACTGGGAGAGCAGGTGCATTAATGCACGTTGAGTATGTTTTAAAATCGATTTTCCAAAATGCCAGAGTTGTTTGTACAAATAAGCCTTCTAGAAGATCTAAGAAGAGAAGCCTTTGCTGTTGATTCTTTTGTTATTTATGTTTTTGTATTCTATTCTGAACTAAAATAAATATTTTCGAACATACTTTTGTACAAGGAAAATACAGTGTGAAAAAGGAAGGAAATGTGAAAAACAAATCTGAGCATTTTATCATTAAGCATTGAATAAGTGCTCGATTCTTTTGTCGAGGGAGGGATGGGTGGGGGAGGAAGGAAGTAGGTGGTACTTGTGTTTGGTATGTTTGTGGTAACTGTAAATAGTTTTGAGATTTGACAAGTCTTTTTTTTTTTAAAGCTCAGAAAGTGGATCGTGAGGTCTGCTTTTAGGTTTTGAATGGTCTGTGTAAGTCCAGGCCCGATTCCTTTTATATAACTGGAAAATCAAGTGTGATAATCTCAAAGGCAAAGGTAGCTTAAAGAAGAAAGACAAATCTGAATCAACACTTCTGTGCTCCCTGTTTTGCAAGGTGTAGTAATACAGCCTTTAAAGCTAAAAGGGTTAGAAAAGCTGCCCTCTGGTGGTAAGCACAGTTTGTATAAATTTTCAAGGGAAGGACTACACCTTTATAACGCTGACCTATTGCTTGATCTCTGGGGTGGAGAACTAAGTCATGCATAAAGCAAGCATTTTCAAGCGCTCCCTCATATTAGTTTTTTAGTCTCTCTTTTAGTTTGACTTTAATTTTCCAAAAAGTAGTAAGGAAGAGGATATGGAGGACAGAGGAAGGTGACAAACCACTTTGAATCTTAAAATTAATATTTAAAGGAAAAATGAATTCTCCATCAGCTTAAGGCTGTGGTGGTGTCTCTCCATCTGCATGTGATTGTCTGAGTGTATGTGGGTGTATGTCTGAGTGTATGTAGGTGTGTAAGCTAGTGGAAAACACTGTATTTGATGGTTGCCCTGTGTGTATGTATGTATTGGGGGGAGGGTGTCTGTATATTGTTTTCCCACGTATGTATCATAAGCCAAGGTATAGATTTTGTGAGTAAGGTGATAGATGCTACTGTTCATTGCTGTTTGATACTTATCATCCTATGAAATACTCACAACTCCTTTTTTGCCTTTTTTTGCCCTATTCTAGAATGAAGGCAGTTTAATTAGCCTCAGAGATGGATATTGCAGGACTGGAGGCAGGGGAAGTGCCCAGGAATGACTCCTGACCCCAGCACTGTGCAGATCTCTGTCAGTGTTCCAGGGACAAAACCGTACCAAGCGGTCAGGTTTTCTAGATACTTTCCCATAATTGATAGATAATAGAACCATTTCCTTAAGAAATCTTTCATAGAGTTGTTATTATTATACTTAGCAATATTCTAGAGGAAAAAATATTTAAGATTATTAAATCGTATAGAACTTAAGCATTTGCCTTATATGTTTCTCAAGCCCCGGAGTTAAAGCTATAACTTACCTCTCTCAAACAGATAATTCACTAGTAATGAGGGGAAGAAAATCGCCATATAAGTGGCTGCTGTGTGCATCTGAGTGACTTTGGGGGATTCTAAACATACTGTAATAGGAAGTACAGATTTTCCTCTGACACCTTGGTAGGAACAATAGAAGATTTTGAGCAGTGTCTAAGCACTGAATATAGAGATGTAAAAAATACAGAGAGGAAGGTCGAGAGGGGAGAGTGTTGGCATGCCATGGGGTTGTTA